TTCGTTCTCTCATGTAGTACAGAGTCAGAAGCGAGCTGAATAACAGATTGATTATCACAATATAATGTGGATGGAGAGGTCACTGAAAAACCCAACTCGTCAAGAATCGATTGTAGCCAGATAATCTCACATGTGCCAAGTGCTAATGCCCGATACTCTGCCTCTGCGGACGAGCGGGAGACAACTGCCTGCTTCTTGCTCTTCCAAGAGATAAGATGAGTCCCTCGAAAAGCACAGAAACCCGTAGTAGATCGACCATCACATGCTCCCCCATAATCTGAATCTGAATAACAGGCTAGAGAACCGGTCTAAGATCCTGATGCATAAAACAACCCAAGTCCAGGACAAGACTTGAGGTACCGAAGAATATGATAAACTGCATCAAGATGAGGCTGACATGGCCTATGCATGAACTGACTAACTCGGCTGACTGCGAATGAAATGTCCGGCCTAGTATTGGCTAAGTAGATAAGTCTACCTACCAATCTTTGATAAACTGTCGGATCTTTCAACTCCTCACCTTCAGCAGTAAGCTTCAGGTTTGGAATCATAGGTGATAATGCCGGTTTGCACCGCAACATCCCAGTGTCTGAAAGAAGATCCAAAACATACTTTCTCTGAAAAAGAACAATACCTCTGCTTCTACGGGCAACCTCAATCCCAAGAAAGTATCGCAGAAATCCAAGATCCTTCACATCGAAGGCCTTCCCAAGGTCTATCTTGACCTGCGCAATCCCAGAAACATCATCACCAGTAATAATAATATCATCAACATATACCAGAAGGATGACACACTGTCCAGAAGTATTCCGTCGAATAAAGCAGGTCTGATCAGAATGACACCTGGTGAACAACTTCGGCGCATGAAAAACCGAATGTAATATAAGGCCATCTGGGAGACGGACTGTACCCCTACTAACAATAGGGGCATGTGTTTCATCTGCTAACTGAACCTATAGTGGTGACAGCAGCAGTAGTCAGACTCTGAGAAGTCAGAGCAGACATAAGTATATCTAATCGGGAAGTGATAGCATCCATATCACTTTGTCAAGGAGGAGCAGTAGCAGGAGTGGCGGTAGTGGGCGGTGGTACCTCAGCAATAGCAACAGTACGGCTGCGAGAAGGTGGCTTAAGCTCTGGATGGAGCTTCCAGCAAGTAGCCCTGAGATGTCCTGGTCGGCCACAATAATCACATTGACGGGAATCCCCCCGTCTGCACTGATCTGGGGCGCCCTGACGGTGCTGGTCTGAGCGTTGCCTATCCCTGACTAAGGATCCTGAACGGGACCTTACAGCAGCTGCAAGGGCCATCTGGTCAATCGAAGGAGGCAAAGCTGCAACTGGAAGTGATGCAATACGGACTCGACACTCATGCTACTCAATCATCCCATACACCTCATAAAGAGAAGGAAGTGTCAACATCGACAAGATCTGAGAACGAGGTCCCTCAAACTCATCACGAAGCCCCATAAGGAACTTGTGAATCCTATCCTCCTGCTCTCGAGTATGCAAGAATGCTGCTCCCTCGGGCTCTATCTTCGGAATAGCAGCAAGAGGACGTAGAAACTCATACTCAAGCCAGCGCTGGGTCAAATAGCCATAATAATCCTGAACGGTCATATCTCCCTGCCGAGCATATGAGAGCTCCTGAGAAAGCTCATAAACACGAACTCCCCATCCTGACTAAGAATACATCTCTGATAATGTGCTCCATAGCTTCGGAACAGAGCTATGAAACTGGTGGATCTTGCAAACAGAGGGCTTCATTGAGCCAAATAACCATCCAAGAATAGCACAGTTTTCAGAGAACCATGCAGAATATCCAGGGTCGGCATCAGCTGGCTTTGGGTGAGATCCCGTCAGCCAACCAAGATTCCTTACACGGCCTAAGAAAAGCTGGAATGAGCGTGACCACTCAGCGAAGTTACGACCATTCAACAATTGTGCCGTAACTTTTTGAGAGATCATGCCCGGTAATGCTGGTAATGCAACTAGACCCGTCTGAAGAACCCAAATTACAAGCAAGAACGCCACAAAGGATGTGATTTACCTTTGATAAGTTCAAAAGTTCAATCAAGAACAAGAGGAGTAAACTCAACTCAATTCACAATCAAAATTCATTATAGATTGTCTCAACGGTAGAGGTGTCAACAGTAGGTTCTCAAGTCCCTCAGTAGTAGTCATATCAACAACAATACTAGGGCACCCGTGATAGAAAAATAACTCTAAGATAAATAGAGGAATAAAATAAGGGAGAACAATATACATTCAGTCGAACAGTAACGACAAATAGGGAAGGTCCAAAAAGCTCCCAAATAATCAAGTCACGGTGCCCAAAAATCCAAAATATATAAATAAGTGATCTACTGCATCAAGGGCAGATCAACAGAAAAGAGGATCCGCTCCCTCCCAAAAAAGTCCTAGAATTGAACGGAAGAGATTGGGCAAAAACGAGGGCCAAGACGAAGCGACGGCTTGATCAAGGCGAACAGCGACGACGCCGTCAGTTTAACCTCTCCTATTCACTTTCAGGTTGTTTGCTGAAGAAAGAGAAACCCTAACCACTGGATTAAGGTTGTGGTGGACTGGTATAAGGATAAGCAGTCAGTGTATGGACTGGTATGAGGATGGGCAGTCGGTGGACTGGTTTTGTCGCTGGTTTGGTCGGTTTCGCTGGGCAACTGATGGCCAGGGTGGTTTCGGCGGTATGGCTGGTAGAGCCATACACTAACCCTACCCCAAACCCTAACCTTGCTCTGATACCAACTTGAAATAATTGTGAGTAAAAGGAGATACTCAAATTAAGAGTAAAACCCCGTATATATAGGCAAAATATAAAAATCATAGTAAAGGTAAAAAAGGGAAAAGAAATCCTAATAAACCTAGACTATCTATACTCCAACACATGATTTATGGTGAACTGGTGATCTCTTGGAGCAGTTATGATTTTAATGTGTTTCATATGATTTAAACTTAAAATAATTGTTATTATATTTGTGTAACATTTTATGATGGATTAATGTTCATGCTTTTTTATGTTTTATTGTAATTGTTGTTGTAGTTGTTTTAGGTTTTAGTATTATTGATTTATTGTATTATTAAATTGGTGCATCTTATTTAATTGAATTGTTAAAATAATCCAGAAACTAAAAGCTATAAAAGTATTTACCTGACTTCCTACCCTATTAATCAGGTAGGAAAACCACACTAGATCGGGTAGGGTAGGCAAAGAAAAAATTCGTCTACAAAGTATTGGGTAAGAAGACGGAAGACTATATTTTTCTACCTATAGGGTAGAGTGAACACCCCTACTTCTTGTTGGAAAGTCAAAAGCTAGTGCTTACCAAACACCCCAAACTTTCGAAAACGATCTTTCCCACGAGAGACGTTCGCCAAAGACACTCATACTTTCGATATATTTGAAATTAATTTTTTCTTTTCTTAAAATTTTTATGTATAACACACATGGTGTATTGCTAGTACTACTATTCAAAATCTTTTGATTTATCAATATACCCTTATTAAAATAATTAATGATATCATTGACCTTCAATAACTCAAAAAGAATAAATATCATTTTATTCTTATGAAAATATTTAACAATTTCAAAAAACACTAATAAGTCTTCATTCATACTAGGGCCGTTAATTTTTGACACGACACGTTAACATGATACAAATCGAACACGAAATTAATGGGTTGGAGACGAAATTAAACGAGTTAATAGGTTAAAACGGGGTCAACACGCTCAAACACAAAAAAAATCATATCGGGTTCATGTCAAAATCAAGTCAACCTGATTTTGACTTCGTATATTTTAAACAGGTTGACATGATTTAGACACGAACCCGACTTAACATATGGTAGACCCATTTAACCCGTTTATGGCAGTATTGTCTATTATGTATGACTGATGTGGTCTTAACATTATTACTTATTAGTTCTTACTTCTATTATGATAATTGACAGTATAGTTCCTAACATTATTATGACATTGTACAAGTATAGTTTTTACTTTAATTTTTATGTTGAAACTTGAATGAATTTTAGTTAATTTCATTGATGAGATATGATATGTTATTTGTAAAAAAAGTTATTTGAATTTTTTGATGAATGATTGAATGATGTATTTAATGGTAATAAACTAGTGTGACAACATGTTATGTGTGTTAAACAAGTTTATGTTATGTGTGTTAAACAAGTTAAATAGGTCGGATTTAGGTAACTCATTTAATGGTCATGTTAAGTTAGTGTTTAGACATCTCGACACGATTATTAAACATGTCAGATTTCGGTTTTGAGATTTTTAACACAAACACGAAATCAACCCGACGGGTTTGACACTCCTAATTCATACATACACACGGAGTTAAAATATATAAGAATATTTAATGTATTAAAATTTAAAGTCAAGATGTTTAAAAGAACATTTGAATCACTATATTACCCTTAAAAGTACCATATGACAATACTATACTTCTAAATTAAAATATGGATTATTTATTTTTATTTTTTCCTAGACTTACCTTGTATAACCTTTATGCATTATATAATATAGAATTGATGATAAAAATATAAACTTGAATAATATGTGACATTATTTAAATCTTATGTAAAAATATAATTTAGCTTAATTACACATAATTTATTGCTTTTAATATATGTAATAAAAAACTTAATCATTAATATTTGTCATGTACAACGCACGTGGTACATTGCTAATATTATTCCGCCCAACACTGGCAATTAATGGGACAAAACAGGCAATGACATTTAATTTAAAGGATGATTTCTTCTTCCTAAGCTGACTTTGCTGAAATTTCTCTTCAACTAGTAGGAAAGGTATACGGAAGTCACCAATATAAATCAGTACAAGGAAAATTTCTAACCCTCCCTAAGACACTGCCTTCCATGCTTGGGTAGGAATCATGATACATACAATTTACATAACGTATTCAAGGGAAACCTGTCAGATAAAAATATGCACTGTACAATAAAATCATCTTCTCTTTTTCCATTTTCCTTTTTATTTCTTTTTCTTTGAAGAACAAATAGTGTTACAAAGCATAGACAAAGAACCTGTCCACACAAATCAGTCACATCAGAATCTTTTTAATACACAACATTTACATGAGAATTAGAAGGGGGATGAAATACACATCTCTCTCCTCTTATCAATTAGTCAGCAGCATTTTTTCTTTCAATCTCATAGGATCTAAACATTCATTAGGCTGACCTCTGCCAACCCTTTTGGTAACTTTTGGAGTACAAAATGCATCAAGAGAGATGACAAATGGCTAGAACAACTCCTTCACAGAAAACCGGTTATGATCAACCTGCAATAAGGAAAAATAAATGTAAACTTCAATTGAACCGACAGAAATGAATGAAAAAGTAAGTCTTACAAGTGAAGCTTTGGGCCATGTAAACAGTTGCTAACAGTTGCGGAAGACAAGCAAATGAATATTTACATCCTTTCTGATCGCCTACCTTCTTCAGAGAAAGAAAATACACCTCCAAGCATGTCATCACTTTCCGCATCTTCCTCAGATTTCTCCTTTTCATAAGGACTATTGCTGCTGTCGATATCAGTGCAAACTTCTGTTAATTCACGGCATTCATCATGAGGTGATGCTTTACAATAACCCTCTTGAAAATACTGCCCAAAATCTAGTGGGTCATGCATATCCTGATGCACTGGACCTTCATCAAGAATGTTCATGCTCGAATCAGAACGGTTAGAACTTGAATTTGAAGCTTCACTTGTCACAACACTGTCTGAAGAATTAACCTCTCGGGCCACAGTTCCTCCAGTAGAAAGTGAGCCAATCTTGGGAGGAGGAGGACTATTTACAACAAAACTTTCTTGAAGGCGAGACACAACTTTTGCAGATAGTACAGGAGAAACTGAAGTATCAACCCCACCAAAAGACCTTTTGTTCAGAGGAGCTGATGGTAAAATAGAACTTGATCTGTTCACCCTATCATTCTCATTCACAACCAGGCCAATAGGAGGAGAAGGCTTAACTGTGCCAATATGATCTAAATCATGTAGAACTGTCGGTGTTTTGGCTGACCCTGATGGAAATGCCAGTAATATGATGATTTATTTTAATAGCAAGTTTCAAGAGAATTAAATATTCAGTAAGATGCATTATAAGAACCAAATGACTGTCTTACTAGCATGTAAGTTTTGAACTGAGTCAGGAGACGATAGCTTTGTATGGAAAATTGCAGTATCTTCTAAAATGTTTCCTCCACCACTTCGAGAATTAGAAGATGAAGTGGAGTATCTTTCCCCAGCAAGCCCCCTGCAGAAAGCATCAAAATAAAGCATCTATGCATAAGTGTGTGAGGCAAATCTCTGGAAAACCACCGAGGAGAGAAGGATAGTAATCGGAAGATCCAGTGCAGTTGATATTGCCTTCTATATGATCATATTGCCTTCTATACCAAAACGTATCATTAAGATACGTGTTGCCTATTGTACGATACATTAGAAGACTGATACAACTTGTGGATACGCATCATTTTGCAGTTGTACATAGCCCTGTCGTAACATACATATCACGTATCATACAATATTGACAACTATGTTTTTGGGGTCCTGTGTGCTGGTGTAGTTATGCTTGCAATTACACTGACCTGATATTAAAGAGTTAAGAGTGTTCATGATGGTGAACATATGCAGTCATGTAAACTAAGGCCATTTTGAAATAGGATTTATTATATTTTGATACTTATAATACATAGCTTTTTTTTTTTTTTGACCTGATAATACAATGCTGAAAGAGGGAAAAATTAGAAGGCAAAAAAAGGAACTGCAGCAGTAACATGTTGTCACAGAGCCATAACCATTGCTCCAGTCCATGACTCAACATATCTAGACCGGATATGTATTGGATTTTCTTTCTCTTGTTTCCTTGAATGATCTTGCTGTCATGAGTTAAGACTAGCTGACGCTTGCATCAGTAAGAATTACTATTTAGCTTTACCTTTTTTTTAATCTTCTTGTGTTTCTTGGACTTGACTTCTGAATGACTTGATCTTGGATACTAAAGTAAGCAACTTGTTTGATCAGCTGAACAATATCTTTTATGCTTAAATGGGTTATCTTTGGCATTTTAGTCTCTTTTTTCCCTTCCTTTTATGCTTAAATGGGTTATCTTTGGCATTTTAGTCTCTTTTTTCCCTTCCTTTTTCATTGGATTTCATGTTGAGCAAAATTTCTTGAGCCCAATTGATCAAGCATGTCACATGGATACTATGCTAATCATTTACTTGTACATTGTCTATGCTATGGAATAATTGAACCAAAGACTAAAAAAAGAAGAAATGCCAAACAGAGTACAATGCACAAACACACTGATAGTACAAATGCCTAAAGAGGAATTGAAACCAAGGCCTCCCATTACAAAGATCCGGCACCATTTTCTGGCAGATAAAAAAGAGAAGAATAACATAGGGGAAATGCAAGTTCCAAGTTTCCAAAGGCCCATCATATCCATGTCTGTAGAGAAAATATAATCCTTAAACTTATGGTCTTTATAGCTTAAACAGGTGTATTGAACATAAACCTTTTGTATATTGAATATATGTCAAATTTTGAGAGTCAAAATCTAAATCAAGTGAACCTACTCTTCGTGATTCCACATCTGTGAAGTCCTGCTACATATGCTCCCCATGACAAACAGTTCTCCACATAAGTATATATATTTTTTGCCACTTGAGCGTATGAAGTAAATTAGTGATAAGGAAAATAAAGCTACAATATTTAACTGAAACTGGTCCTTTTTCAAACGAAAGTTGGGTAAAGATTACCAGAAAACAAAAACTGAAAAGGGAACCAAAAGAAAGAAAAATCACAAAACAGAAATTTGAATGAGACATGCCGAGCCAAATTTGATTTTTCGCCCTATCCATATACATAACTAGAAATTTGATTTCCCATAGCATACATTAACATTAATAGTTATTCTGGAAGATGAAGCTCAGATTATTATTTTTAGACTATTACCCTGTCTGTATTTCTACTATGTTGCTATATCTTCTTCTATATATAATTATACCTTGCTCAACCAGAGCCATCCATTTGCAAATTTTTATTTACAAAGAAAACAGATTCAACAAAAAAGAAAAAAGAAAAAGAAATAGAAGCCAATTTGGGTTCTGCGGTTTTCCAAGTGCAAAACAAGTCTTGTCCTAAGAAATGTCCCTGCTAATCTAAGACCTGAGTTGGGAGGGTCCACATAGTTTCCATCAAGGTCCATTGACATGTAGTTTTCATAAAATGGACATCTCAAACAAGTGGACATTTTTCCTGAAATGTCCATGAACTGTCACTCAAATGCTTGTTAGACCAAAAAGAAGACTCCTCTACATAAGTAGCCGTGCCCTCTTTCAAAGTGTATCAAACCTGAATGGCCAAAATAAAACTAATTGAAACAAACTGAAGCACAAAAAGTAGGACAGAAAATCGCAAAATATCATGCCTTATCTACTGTCTAAATGCATGCCTATACAAGGATAAGACTGCCCAGGCAGAGTTCCTATCTGGGAGAATATGTAATGAATACAAAATTTAACAAAGTTATGACACTACATATACAGATCTATGGCATTACCTGTCGCCACTCCAACCCGGATGAATCCTGTGGAAACTGTCAAAAACTGGTAGTAAATCCTTCCTCCTTATTTCAACCTCATGACTGGGAATCTTTTCAATTTCAATCTCTCCTCCAGTATGGTCTTTACTACGGTTATCCTCTTCACACCCATAAAGACTCATAGTATAGAACGATATCTAGAGTATGAACGGATAGATTACAACCTCATTGAAAGAGAAAAACATGAATGCACAAAAGATTTAGAACTGCTAGAAATACCTTAGACTTCTGCCAAATTGGTATCCTCCCAGATCTTATCTGGACCTCTGCATTGGAGAGATACCAATGGGATCGCTCATGTGATCTTACTGAATCCTTTTCCACAATTCCATTATCTTCATTATCAGAAGAATCCATGATTGTCTCTGCAGCTCCTTGTCCACCAAGAGTAAGCCCATAAATACATTCCTCTCTTTCAGGCCAGTCTGCCCTTCGGCAAACATCCCACCATTGAGCAGGTTCAACTTTCACCCCTATCTCTTCTTGCATGTGCACCTGTGAACCTATCCCAGCTGGCAAAGAGGAATCATCTTGTTCTCCCCCATTTGAAGGGAGCAGTTCATATTGAATTACATTACCAGGGGGAGTATAAACCAAAAGATGCTCCATTGCATTGACATTTGAGAGAGTAGATAGCAAATTGTGACGTACAGAACTGTGAAAAACTGCAGCAACAACACCAGTTGGCACAGAGACCTTTCCTGCTGCGGAAGATGCAGCATTGCTTACTGTATCAAGCCACCTAGAATTGCCATGTCTTATCCTGCTTACAGCAGATAGAGTGATAGTTGCTGGGGGTGGTGGATAAAAGGATTTCAGGTTTATCATATATGATGAAGTAGACCACCAGGGTATTGATAGAATTGGTGAGAGGGCAGGCCCAACAACATGAGAATTTTGTATTTGAAGACCAGTCTCACCACCAAATGGGGAAAGAACAAAAATATGGCAAGTTCCCTTGGATGAAACAATAGCTATCCACTGACTATAACTGCTGAAACAAATGTCTTGTATCACCTGTTACATAGCCACAATAGAAAGTATATAATATCAGTACATAATATCTCCAACATGTGAGCATTTCCCAAGAAAAAAAAGGGTTTTCAAACAACAGGAACACACAGCTGAAGTCATGCCACGATGAAGCTTGTAAAGGTGCACATGAGAATAACTCCAATCATTGCTCTGAGTGCCTGAACCATTTTGTGAGCAGGATGGCACGATCCGGAATATATTTATGTTGTTGCCATGAATAGAAGCAGTAACCAGAAGAGTCCCACTTGGGTCAAAACATAAAGCAGATATAGAACTGGTATGGGCCCTAAATTGTGAGACAACAGCCCTGGATACAAAATCTTTTATGACAACCTGCAGAAAACAATTCGGAAAAAACCACTTATGTTTGTAATTCTGGTTGTCAGCAGAAGCATAAAAAGCATAGTTTTAGAATGACAAACCCCCCCCCCTGGTGGGGCCGGATTTCATAAATCCAAACATTGTGAAGTTTCAAAAATCAAGAACAATAAACAAGATGTATTTTAAATTGAATTTGAACAGTTGACTTTGTGGACAAATTGCAGAATTCCAGTCAGAACATTACATAGCATATTTTGTTCTGTACATAATTAGTAAAATATAATTATATTAGACATATGACCACAACCAATGGCATGATAGAATAAAGGGTGGGTTTTTTACTGCATATTTTCATAACACTTCTGCCAGTAAACCATGTCAAAGACTTACCATCCCAGCAGTATCTGTTTCACTTGAATGAGCTGCAACCCTACCAACTTTCCAACTGGAATTTGATGACACCGGAGAACTAGAACCATCGGGCAAAAGCTCATGACAGTATTTTGACAAGGTTTTATAACCCATGTCCCCCAGATTAACTAATCCAGCAGCTAACTGCTTACTTGACTCCATGGCATAACGAGCTACCAGACTTCCACTTCCAGGTGATGTCGAAGGGCTGACACCAGGAGAAGGGCCAAGACTTTGGGGACTTAACCGTCCAGTATTTGGCATCAATGGATTATTAGAAGCATATGCCAACCACCTGGGGCCCACATCCATTGGCCCGTATCCAACATTAACGCCAACAAATCCCTGGCCTCCCAGCTGAGGGGCAGGATAAGTGAGCACGCTAAACTTATTCTCAAAGGTGATCGCATCAAAGCAATATATCTGCCAGAAAAACAAAGAATACATAAGCCAGGTTATATTGTTTGGTACCAGTGTAGTTAATCGAAAAAAAATAAACTTCGTCTTTAGGACATACAACCCTATGTCATGGAAGATTTTTGTTTTAATACCAGCATTAACCCAATCATCTATCTGTCTTCTGAACTGCTGAAGAAACTTGGTGGACAGTGCCTTTAGACCATAGTTAGAAAAAATATATCCATCCAAAACTGACCAGAATATTAACCGAGTATACTAGTGACTATATCATCCTAAACCCACCTTTATGCACACCATGTTTGCCACCTTTATGCACACCATATTTCTTACATCTAATTCTCAAATCCTACCCAAAACTAACACACCAAATAAAACATAAGAAGATGCTTACTTGTGTTGCAAGACCCACGGCTACTATTCGCTGACTGCATCTAACCATGTACACAGTTGAGCGGAATCTCAAAACATGGACATAATTGTGAGACCTTAAAGAGTAAAATCGAACAGATCTAGGAGAGCTTAAAATGTTTCCTCCATGAGGTTCAATAAAGCCATCTTTTAGCAAACCATTGCTGTCATTTTGAATTGGACCTGCATTGCTCACTTCATCACACGCCACAACCACCAACAAGGGATGTGATGCTCTAAAACCTTCACGACACTCAGACTTCTCAGGTATGGGCTGCATCTGTAAAAATGTGACTGGATCATCACGCCTTGAAACCAGTTCAACGACACTCGAAGCATCTTCAACATCAAGGACTTGAAATCCATTAGAGTAACCAAGTAGGAGGACACGCTTGATAGAAGGACCAAGGTCTAGTCTATCAAAGCAAGACCACAGAACCTGTTTGGCCAAAACAATTCCAAGCTTGGGTGTAAAAATCATGTAAACAATCATGAGCAGATTTGTTTTTGAAGCAAGAAATTAGAACATATCAAAAACAGAATGCAACAGGAAGAAGGGAAGGGGAGGGAGAAAATATGTATTCGCCTCATTGAGCCAACCAACACGTGAAAAGAAAAATTTATTTACCCCAGCTGCATAGTATACAAACACAGCCATATGCATATGCTTGACACATTCTACACACCCACCCACGTTCCAACCAAAACCTGAATGCCATGTGGTGCATGGATACCACCCGAGCTACCATCTGGCGTTTAAACATATTGTATCCGACCAATAAACGCCAAAAAAAAAAAGAAGCAAAAATTAAGACCTGCCACCTCACACTTTTATCAGTATATAATTTAGGGCACAAGATATTGAATCCCTTCCTAGTAGTTTTATACAAGTCGCTTTCGGAAAACTTCATCACTATTCCACAATCAGCTCACAATCATTCTCTCCCTCTTAGTATATCAGTCGTTAGTGTGAAGGGACTTGTATCCCACATTACATGGCCAGGATGGTTTTTATGATTGACCGGTCTCTCCATCCATTCTAATTTGGTTTAAGTTGGATGCATTGAATGTGATATCATAGGTAGACCTTTGATGGTCAATGAGTCAAGTCTCTCATCAACTGAATTCCCCGATCTGCTTATATGTCTTCCGTTTGTCAATCTACATGTGAACTAGAATCCCACGTGAGAGAGGGTATAAATTGACATTGTATCTGCATCAAGAGATCAGCACTCTCCGCCCACTAACAATTGATTATGCCTTGAATACATTTAATAGTCGAAAGTAGGTATCGAGAGGGATCTCCGCCCACTGACAATTGATTTTGACTTGAATACATTTAATAGTTGAAACTAGGTGTTAGTATATTCTCTCAACTTGATAGTGCCAACATAACAGGGGTCCTAAAATTGCTATACTCGATTTTTTCGTTTTAACATCTTACACACACATACATATCCGTGCTCATTCAAAACTAACACATCTAAAATGACGTGCCTGACAACCTTTGTGATCAACTACATGCTTTATGTATTAACACAAATCTAAAACTAACGCGCACGACAACCTTTGTGGTCAACTTCCTTCTTTATGTTTTTGTCCCTTACTCAACATGAGAAAGCGAAATGAAATAAGACAAAGAAGCTTACCGATATTACTGCTTTACCTAGTTTTGTTCAACTGAGGAGCCTTTTTATAACTTTCAAACAGTGAAAACAACTCAAATCATGCCTTAAAGTGCTTACACGCCAACCAAGGTAACTCATTTTACTTGGTCAGTTACTGGGTAAAATTTTGACAATTTGAATTTGAAGCACGCTATGTCATGCTAAGATTTTTGTAATTTCTTAAATGGGTTAGACCTTAGCCCCCGCTAGGAGAGCAGTACAGATTACCTCTGAGGTGTATATGAAAGGAATAGAAAAAGGAATTAGATGCTGTTCAGCTCATTGCAATTGTCACATCTCACAAAAGGGCTCTTTTCTTTTCCTTTTTTTTTACTTTTTTCCCTTGTTGAACTATTTCTCTAAAACTTTTAATCGACATGAATCCTAGATATGGTGCTGAAAACTGTCTAGGCAGGGGCAAGGTCATTCAAGTGCCTGGTGCCATGTGCAGCCTTGTGAGTTCAACCATGTGAAATATGTCCCTTGAAATTATTGTGAAATTTTCAGGCAGCCCAATCCATTTGTTTCGTACAGGCACACTAAATCTATGCCTAAGCATGAGGTGGTAAAAATAAATCATCAATAGTATATTCGAAAGAGTTTATAGCAACTTGCAAAGAATCTAAGAAAAAGAAAAAATTGATTAATAGCAACTAGAACAAAAGGTAGCCTTATGAATTCCCCCCCCCCCACCCCCAAAAAAAAAAAAAAAAATTCCAGGCTTTCCCATACTAGTTGATTTCCCGTTTACACAAAATGCGTGCACTAATTCATTAATTAATCAAAATTTCATCTACTAGAAACAAAATATAGACCGTTAAACTTTTACCTTTAACCCTTTAGCACACTAGAATAATGTTTCTCAATTTCTCAATTCAATTTTAGCAGCAACCAAAGACACGACTGCGGTAAGTTAATCAGGCATAGTAGAATTGAAAGATATACATATACACATATATTCCAAACAATAAAAACCTCGAGTACATGAAAATTTCAGCAATTAAATCACCAACACACTTGATCAGATATTTGTCAACCAAACAGATGAAAATAAATTCAATGAGAAGAGTAATGGTCAACATCAACCAGACCGACCTGGTCTTTTTGATGTTCGTTGGAGCCGGTGGAGATCGAGCCGGCGACAGATGCTCCGGCGGACCGTACATTAGACGACACAGTCTTGATGCAAGAAGAAATGAACTTGAAAGAATTGGGGATGAAACCATTGGTGTTGTTATTGGTATTCTTAGGCTTCTTGTTTAGGCTCTTCTTCATAATCAAAGTCCAGTTGAAGTTTTAGCGTTAACCGGTGAACTACCCGGAAAAATTACTTCTCCTCCACCGCCGCCTCCACCGGCCGTTGACTGTTGCCGGAAACGGATGATCAGATTGAGCATTTATTGGGCCCACAACGGGGGATAACTCCAGCGACAATTAGGTGTCGGTGTTGTTGGTGTTGGGTGTTTGGGTTTGACCTGAACAGAGACGGTTTATTTCTCTCCCCCTCTCTCTCTCTTGTTTTTAGACTCTCTGCTTGTTAATTGAATTGTTCGCTGTAAGCAAAATTTTTAGAAATGACCACTCAATTTTTGGGTATGTTATAGATTCCCCTTAACATTATTGAAGTATTGTTTACTCCCCCAGCCAAACGTTTGTAATTATCGTACTCACATTTTGTGATGTAAAATTACCATTTATATTAGAAACTATTTTTAAATTTGGAACAAAACTAGTGAATTTCAATTTTTTTTTTAAAAAAAACAAAAGATAAATTTGAGATGCAGATGAACCACAATAACTTTGTTGATGCATGACAAGTTGACCTTGTAAATGAGTTAGAGGGATCTATTACAAATTGATTGTTGAGTTGCAAAATAACAATCAAAATACTTTATCATGGTAGTGATTTGTTGAAAATTGATCTCTAATTCCCACAGCTGTGCAAATAGGGATTAGTGAAGGATAGACAAGCCGGAGAAAAAATAATAAGTGTATTATAACAAAGGGTAGTTACTAGGCCGATTAGCTATGTGATCAAGCATTGTTAGAATGGAATAGATGGTCTTCAATCAAAGTAAAATGAGACGAAGGAAGCAACCCAAATTCTCTAAACGATCGAATACTTGAGAAATAAATGGTTCTAGACTCGTAGGTTTTGGGGTGGGAGTGACCAATGATTTTTTTTTTTTTTTTTTTTGCTTGTGGGTTTACTAGCATTCTTACAAATATTGGGGTGGTTTTTAAAATAACACAAAAACTAAGATGCAAAATGAAAGAGTGAGAAGATTGGCTTACGTCACCTAAAAGGATGAGAATATCTTAAATGAGATGCCCAAGCAATGATAGAATTGAGGCGCCTTCATGCTTATACGCAAAAACTTATTAGTTGTCGCCCAACGCTTCGAAATTTGAACAGACAGACACAACTCAATAAAAGGGTATTTAATGCTTTATTAATACCAATAATGCTAGGCTAGTGAAAAAAAATTGGACAGTGTAATAAATAATATTTTTGATCTTATTTTTTTTAATTTAATATTTAATATTTATTTACCCCTATCCGCTACAACGTTATTTAATCTTTATTCAAAATCGTCCTTAAAAAAAAAAAGGAGATTTTTGGGTCAATTTGAAAATTTTGCAGAATTTAATGATATTTTTGTGTGCAAAGTAAGATATAAAAATAATTTCTACCTAGTTTTTGACCTTTCTACTTCTAAAATATTGTTTTAAAACTTCAATCAATATTGCAAAAGAAATTGTTTTTCTTTCTATCGTTTGTTGATAGACCATGGTAATTGAACTATTGACGTTCTATCCATTGTAATCATATCCGAAAAGAACTTTTCTTTATTTTGCCAAATATAAATTATGAGCAACTCCAAGAATTAGATTATGTGGGCTTTGTAATTTATCAATTTTGGTTAAATTTAATAAATGTTGTGTAACATTTTCATGTCACATAACCTCGAGTTTGAATCACTTTTTAGTATAGGGTATTTCTTCCTCATCTATAAGCAGACTCAAGTATATATGATATATATATATATATATATATATATATAAGAGAGCTAGACGTGATGCTTAAAACAATAGTAACTACTCATTCTAAGTCCTTATAACACAAGAAAATTTAAGTTTCGTTTGCCTTCTCACAAAATTGATTGGAAATCAGGTAAAATTATTTCTATTTCTTTTCTTGAATATAATTGTACTATATTTAATTTTTCAAATGGTACTAATTTTTCAAAAATGAGCGTAAACCCTTGTGATTTTTTCTTAGGACGGATTAGATTAGGACAAATATTTGATAAGTCATTAGTATGAAAAAGAGCATTAAAAAGGAGGCTCACAAGTCACAACCAACCATCCTACGTGTGACAGATCAAGCCAATTTGTGGACTAGCCGAACCAACGTTCTTTTTGAAACTGACAGCTAGTGCCCTTGGCCCATGTAACTGAAAACCTACTGGATATTTAGCATTTTGTTTTTCTTATTTGGACAAAAAATTGATTGATTTTTTCCAAAAGTTATTTATTTTTCATTTATAACATTTCTAACTTTGACTCAAATTTTTATTTAAGTTTAAATTAATATTTGAGTAAAAAACTTCAATAGACAAATTTAAATTTAATGAAGGTCAAACTCAAATTTAAAAGAGAGTAAAATATTATTAAGGGTGTTCAGATTTTCGATTACCAGTAATTTTTGATCTTACCCTATCCTACTCGATCTTATTGATCAATTATATCGGGTAGACCAATAAAAAATATTTTTGTATTCCGCAAAAAATCGAGTAGAAATGTGAAATATGTATAAAATTTTCTATGTTTATGGCTTTCTTATATTTTATGGCTTTTTTGTTGTGTTTTATTGTAATTGGTTATGTATTAACAAATTTATTGTAGTTTCTTTAGTGTTATTGGTTTATTATGTTATTTAATCAGTGCATGTTTTTTAATTAAATTATTAAAATGATTCAAAAATTAATAACTAAAAAATATGTGTTCACCTGATTTTCTACTCAACTTTCTACCCGATTATTTTGGACAAAAATTTGGGTAAAAATAGTACACTTGATCGGGTATAATAGGCCAAGAAAAATTTCTTTCATAAAATACTGAGTAGGAAGATGAAATACCATAATTTCTATATATAGGGTAAGATGAATACTCCTAAATATTACCATTTGACCTTTAAAAAGAATAAATCTGACTATTAATGATTGAGTAAAATTTTGAATCTCCCTTAATTTGAGTAAAAATATTGAGCCTTCTTGATTTGGTACGGGTTTGGCTATAAAATTTAAAAATAAAAAATAAAAAATTAGGAGATAAGAGCTAAAGATTCTATTGTAACAAAATGCGGTACCAAAAAAGGGTCTTTTTGGTACCACATTTTTACGGTGGTAGCATAGCCGTATCCCATTTCATGATATGATTCCTCTTTCCTTTTGGTTGGAAATGATTGGTTTTGTATTGGAAAAAAAATAGAGTTTGCATTTATTTTGAGGTTTTCATTTTTTTCTCCATCTTTAACTTGTTAAATATGGGCCCGTTTGATTTCCGTATTAAAAATGGGTGAATTGAATAAATGAATCTAATCTAATTGGACAAAAGACAAGATTAAATGGGGTGTTAAAATAATACATTATTTTATCTAGTGCTTGACAATATATAAGTCTCTTGGTGATATTAAAATACTTTCATAATAAAATTCTATCGTACAAAAAATATACGATAAATATACGTTTTTTGAATAAATATGAAATCAAATTTATATACCAAACAAAGTGTGCGAGATAATTTTTGCACAATAGATGAAATGTGAACATATATCTCTCATAGTGAACTCATTCGTCGATGTGACAGTTTCTGCAACAAGGAACGAGTTGAGAGGGCCAAAGGGGGCCTAAGGAGTGGTGATGAATTATTTCAGGGGCTGTCCGATCGATCCCGGTGGATTGCAGGACGTTCCTAGTACACAGAAAACAAGTTAGAAGGGCGTCGGAGCTTTTTCAGTGTATCCCCTCTGACGGTCAAATCAGTTCTTTGAGAGAAGAAAAAAAAAATATTGTATGGTTCTTGAGAGGTAATTTTGCGCACCTTTGCAATGTGTTTTTAAGGATTATTTATATTTTCCAAGACTTATCATTACTAGTAGTCTAGGCAATAGGTAGCCTTCAGAGATGGGGCAGTGTGCCTCCTATTTTACATGGGGAAAGTCCTAGTATTAATTGCTCGGCCAGCCGAGCACTTAATGCTCTTTTTACAATGTAGAGGTGTTAAATGCTTGGATCTCTAAGCATTTAATGTTTTTACTTCTCGGCTTCTTAAGCCATAGTAGATATCTCATCAACTAAGAATCTACTAAATATTTGCCTGTGATAACCGCATATCAGCAGGGGTACTTTTGTCTTTTTACCCCTATTTCTGCATTTTTTGAAATGCGTCCGCCTCCCCTTGGCTGAACGTCCTGTTTGCTCAGACATTCTGACACCATTGTACAGAGTACCTTCATGATGGCTAGTCTAGTGGAGGCTGGTCAGTTGTCAATTAGTAGCCTTTCCAAGAGCATGAGGCACATGCTAGACTAGAGATCCATTAGGCACCTCTGAAACTAAGGACACGAGTCTGCCTCAAGGTGGAGGTACCCTTGAAGTCGAAGCCAAGGGGCATCTGATTTTCCAAAAGCATCGATATACCTCAGTGCCAAGGAACAGGGGAATATTGGTGTAGAGGACACAAGTCGTTTGATCCAGCCTTTCCTAAAAATGTCCAATCAACTGCCCTAGCCCTTTGATCTTTGCACGGAAGGGACACACCTCGTTTGAAGATGAAAGGGCTCAACTGCCTCATTTACCTCTTCCCAGTAGCGAGTGGTGTACTGGAGGAGGTTTCCCCTTCCTTTTCGCCTTAGTGTTAGGAGGGACCCACGTATTTGGGTCGCCTACTCCCTGTAATGAACCAGGCAGAGAACTATTTGGTCAGCTCCTTCCATGACCCTATATTGTTGGGAGGAAGAGTCTTAAACCATTTCATGGCAGAGTCCCCAAGGCTCATAAAGAATACTCGGCACAACAACTGGTAGTCTGAGTGGTACAGAGATATCATCTGCTTGTACTGTCTGAGATGGGCTTCAGGGTCAAATCGTCCGTCATAAGTTTTGAATCTTGGTACTGCAAATTTCTTTGGTACCTTCATCTCCATAATATTTCTTGTGAAAGGTGATTGGATGGATTCGTCGTCGGTATCATCCTCCTGCGGTGCTTTATCCCTTCTTTTGGAATCCAGCCGGGCCCTGAGGTCATCCCCGTGTTTAAGGGGCATGTCTCTATGTGCTTGGTGCCAGACAGCATGGTCCCTAGTCCCTAGGTGCCAGACGGAGAGGGTTGACCCTTTCTCGGACTCCTCCATGCCCCTTTGCCCTAACAGTCCCCGATGGAGGTTGTCCCAAGCCAACGGCCTAGCCTGCTTTGGCTGAAACCTCTAGGAGCTGTCCTTTGGCCC